TGTAATTATCTATGCCCCTAACGTGGGAGCAGCCAACTATATAAACCAATTAATAACAAAATCAAAGAAACACATCAACAATAATACAATAATAGTAGGGGACTTTAACACTCCCCTCACTGAAATGGACAGATCAAGCAAAAGATCAACAAGGAAATAAAGGCCTTAAATGACACACTGGACCAGATGGTTATCACAGATATATTCAGAACATTTCGTGCCAAAGCAACAGAATACACATTCTTCTCTAGTGCCCATGGAACATTCTCCAGAATAGATCACATCCTGGGTCCTAAATCAGGTCTCAACCGGTATCAAAAGATTGGGATCATTCCCTGCATATTTTCAGACCACAATGCTCTGAAGCTAGAACTCAATCACAAGAGGAAATTTGGAAAGAACCCAAATACATGGAGACCATAAACAGCATCCTTCTAAAGAATGAATGGGTCAACCAGGAAATTAAAGAAGAATTGAAAAAATTCATGGAAACAAATGATAATGAAAACACAACGGTTCAAAATCTGTGGGACACAGCAAAGGCAGTCCTGAGAGGAAAATATATAGCGGTACAAGCCTTTCTCAAGAAACAAGAAAGGTCTCAGGTACACAACCTAACCCTACACCTAAAGGAGCTGGGGAAAGAACAAGAAAGAAACCCTAAACCCAGCAGGAGAAGAGAAATCATAAAGATCAGAGCAGAAATCAATGAAATAGAAACCAAAAAAACAATAGAACAAATCAACGAAACTAGGAGCTGGTTCTTTGAAAGAATTAATAAGATTGATAAACCCCTGGCCAGACTTATCAAAAAGAAAAGAAAAAGGACCCAAATAAATAAAATCATGAATGAAAGAGGAGAGATCACAACTAACACCAAAGAAATACAGACAATCATAAGAACATATTATGAGCAACTCTATGCCAACAAATTTGACAATCTGGAAGAAATGGATGCATTCCTAGAGACATATAAACTACCACAACTGAACCAGGAAGAAATAGAAAGCCTGAACAGACCCATAACCAGTAAGGAGATTGAAACAGTCATCAAAAATCTCCAAACAAACAAAAGCCCAGGGCCAGATGGCTTCCCGGGGGAATTCTACCAAACATTTAAGGAAGAACTAATTCCTTTTCTCCTGAGACTGTTCCAAAAAATAGAAATGGAAGGAAAACTTCCAAACTCATTTTATGAGGCCAGCATCACCTTGATCCCAAAACCAGACAAGGATCTCATTAAAAAAGAGAACTACAGACCAATATCCTTGATGAACCCAGATGCAAAAATTCTCACCAAAATACTAGCCAATAGGATTTAACAGTACATTAAAAGGATTATTCACCCCGACCAAGTGGGATGTATTCCAGGGCTGCAAGGTTGGTTCAACATCCGCAAATCAATCAATGTGATACAACACATTAATAAAAGAACAAGAACCATATGATACTCTCCATAGATGCTGAAAAAGCATTTGACAAAGTACAACATCCCTTCCTGATCAAAACTCTTCCAAGTGTAGGGATAGAGGGCACATACCTCAATATTATCAAAGCCATCTATGAAAAACCCATTGCAAATATCATTCTCAATGGAGAAAAACTGAAAGCTTTTCCTCTAAGGTCAGGAACACGGCAGGGATGTCCGTTATCACCACTGCTATTCAACATAGTACTAGAAGTCCTAGCCTCAGCAATCAGACCACAAAAAGAAATTAAAGGCATCCAAATCGGCAAAGAAGAAGTCAAACTATCACTCTTCGCAGATGATATGATACTATATGTGGAAAAGCCAAAAGACTCCACTCCAAAACTGCTAGAACTTGTACAGGAATTCAGTAAAGTGTCAGGATATAAAATCAATGCCCAGAAATCAGTCGCATTTCTCTACACCAACAACAAGACAGAAGAAAGAGAAATTAAGGAGTCAATCCCATTTACCATTGCACCCAAAACTATAAGATACCTAGGAATAAACCTAACCAAAGAGACTAAGAATCTATACACAGAAAACTATAAAGTACTCATGAAAGAAATTGAGGAAGACACAAAGAAATGGAAAAATGTTCCATGCTCCTGGATTGGAAGAATAAATATTGTGAAAATGTCTATGCTACCTAAAGCAATCTACACATTTAATGCAATTCCTATCAAAGTACCATCCATTTTTTCCCAAGAAATGGAACAAATAATCCTAACATTTATATGGAACCAGAAAAGACCTCGAATAGCCAAAGGAATATTGAAAAAGAAAGCCAAAGTTGGTGGCATCACAATTCCAGACTTCAAGCTCTACTACAAAGCTGTCATCATCAAGACAGCATGGTACTGGCACAAAAACAGACACATAGATCAATGGAACAGAATAGAGACCCCAGAAACAGACCCTCAACTCTATGGTCAACTAATCTTTGACAAAGCAAGAAAGAATGTCCAATGGAAAAAAGACAGCCTCTTCAATAAATGGTGTTGGGAAAATTGGACAGCAACATGAAGAAAAATGAAATTGGATCATTCCCTTACACCACACATGAAAATGGACTCAAAATCGATGAAGGACCTCAATGTGAGAAAGGAATCCATCAAAATCCTTGAGGAGAACCCAGGCAGCAACCTCTTCGACCTCAGCCGCAGCAACATCTTCCTAGGAACATCGCCAAAGGCAAGGGAAGCAAGGGCAAAAATGAAGTATTGGGATTTTATGAAGATCAAAAGCTTTTGCACAGCAAAGGTAACAGTTAACAAAACCAAAAGACAACTGACAGAATGGGAGAAGATATTTGCAAACGACATATCAGATAAAGGGCTAGTGTCCAGAATCTATAAAGAACTTAGCAAACTCAACACCCAAAGAACAAATAATCCAATCAAGAAATGGGCAGAAGACATGAACAGACATTTCTGCAAAGAAGACATCCAGATGGCCAACAGACACATGAAAAAGTGCTCCATATCACTCGGCATCAGGGAAATACAAATCAAAACCACAATGAGATATCACCTCACACCAGTCAGATTGGCTAAAATTAACAAGTCGGGAAATGACAGATGCTGGCGAGGATGCAGAGAAAGGGGAACCCTCCTACACTGTTGGTGGGAATGCAAGCGGGTGCAACCACTCTGGAAAACAGCATGGAGGTTCCTCAAAATGTTGAAAATAGAACTACCCTATGACCCAGCAATTGCACTGCTGGGTATTTACCCTAAAGATACAAACGTAGTGATCCGAAGGGGCACGTGCACCCGAATGTTTATAGCAGCAATGTCTACAATAGCCAAACTATGGAAAGAACCTAGATGTCCATCAACAGACGAATGGATAAAGAAGAAGTGGTATATATACACAATGGAATACTATGCAGCCATCAAAAGAAATGAAATCTTGCCATTTGCGACGACGTGGATGGAACTAGAGGGTATCATGCTTAGCGAAATAAGTCAATCGGAGAAAGACAACTATCATATGATCTCCCTGATATGAGGGAGAGGAGATGCAACATGGGGGTTAAGGGGATAGGAGAAGAGTAAATGAAGCAAGATGGGATTGGGAGGGAGACAAACCATAAGTGACTCTTAATCTCACAAAAGAAACTGAGGGTTGCTGGTGGGAGTGGGGTTGGGAGAGGGGGGGTGGGGTTATTATGGACATTGGGGAGGGTATGTGCTATGGTGAGTGCGGTGAAGTGTGTAAACCTGGCGATTCACAGACCTGTACCCCTGGGGAAAAAAATACATGTTTATAAAAAATAAAAAAAAATAAAAAAAGAAACAAAGGTACAAAATATACCTAATAAAAAAAAAAGTATATAGTTGATTATGTTAATATGTAGGCATAACTATCCTAGAAGTAATAATGAAGATTATAAATGTAAATGAGACAATAGAAATTAAGTCTCCTTAGGTGTGTTTTTTTTTTTGGTGACTTAAATACCATGGGTCTGACAGTGTGATTTTTTTTTTTTTAAACTGCGAATAATCCAGGGTGTCTTCAAAAGACACCAAACCACAGTTGTCCTTCCATATACACAGGAGTTGCCTAGTTCTACTCTTGATATATTCAATGTATATTTGAACCATGCACAAATATTGTAGGGTTGTATATAAAGCAGTTAGGTTTGAGGGTTATAATTGGGTTTTTCATCCACATGGGTGGATGACTTCTAGAACAGTCAGAAGAATTCTTTCCTATGGAGGGACTGTTCCGTCCATTGAGGGTGCAGCCTCCCCGTCTCTGCGAGTAGCAGGGGTAACAGTCGTTGGGATGACCAAAAAAAAGTGCTCCCACCAATTTTCACAATGTTTCAATGGGGGCAGTACTGTCCCCATTTAGTGCTGGTGCACTGAGTGCTCTGCTCTTCTGATAAACTACTGACTAATGAGACAGCTGTGTATCCCACCATTCTACCAGACCTGAAACGTGGCCAGGAGAGAAGCTGGGGCCAACCTTGAGAGGCTGTAGAGCTGAGCTCCTGGCCTCTGTGGCCACCAGACACCTCGAGCCTTGTGCAGCTGTTCTTACTCCTGAGCTGTGACCACCTTCAGCTGTCAGTCTCTCTCTGCCCTCACACCTACTCCCTGTTGTTCCAGACAATCAAGGATTGCTCCTGCCAGGTGCTTGGTCTGGCAGATAGTATGGAATAGACTGGTCTGTCATGCGTGGGGAGGCACTGAATACCTTCCTTGGCTTGAGTCTGTATTGGCATAGGAGAAATAATTTCCTTCTGGTGCACACTCTTGACGCGATGACGCTGTTAATAATGTTAGTATTTTCAGTTTGTATTTGGCATTTTAAAAATCGCCAGATGCTTTCATACTTGTTTTTGGAAAAATAAGAGCTTATGTCTACTTATGATCATCTTTTGGTTTGCAGTTTCTTGAGCTCTTATCAGGTGTCCTCATAATCGCTTGTCTCTTCGGTGGTTTTTATTATGATTATTGAATTGGTGCCTGAATACATTTTGGATTTGGTGCAAGGTCTTTTGTATGCCTTGTTGTTGCAGGCTGAGGCTGAGCTGCAGGAACGCTATTTTGAGCCATTGGTGAAAAAAGAACAAATGGAAGAAAAGATGAGAAGCATCAGAGAGGTGAAATGTCGAGTAGTGACATGCAAGACGGTGAGTGGAGTTGCTTCTAACCCTGGCCTCTGTTTGGAGCTGTAGTGACCTCTAGTGACTCAGCGGGACATGGAGATATATGGGATATGGGGCCATGTCTCGTGATTGCAGTCCTGCACAGGTCATTTATTTATGCTGGAAAGCAAGCTGCTCATGACAGCCAAGGACCTGGCTGCCTGCCCACTTGGCCTCCAAGCTCTGTTGGCAGAATGTTGGTGGTGAGATTCTCCTCTGATTTGACCACAGCTCCTGGTTCTGCAGGCGAGCCTTGTCCATTGGACCCAAGTTCTTCTGACCTATGCTTCTCAAGTTTCTAGCACACCCTCGGTCCACAGCTCACAGTCCTGGGACATCAGTTGAATGATTTCCTTTGGCATCACCTGTTAAGACCAATTACTATTAACCCTTTCTACTCAGGGCTTAACCTGCTAAATTGAATCTCAAGGCAAAGGATAAATTGTATTATTTTCTATGTTTGCAGAATTTTTACACTAAGTCTATTAGAGGATGATATACCCTCCATCCTTGAACACTGATAAAATAGGACCAAAAAATATTTCTTGCAGAACCGTATTCTTCCATTACCACTCATTTTATCCTGCCTGACTCATCCTCCTCATAAGCACATGTGAGAGAGAGGAGGAAGAGGCTTAGCTTACCAAGTACCATTTTCTCAGTCTTTATTCCTTTTCAAACCTCAACATTCTCCTTTACATTTAGGGGATGGCCCTGAACCAGCTGTCACCAAAAGTTAGGGATTCCTTGAGAAAATTCAGAATAAGTAAACGTTTTTTCTGAGATAACAGCTTGTACTCTGACAAAATAGCAAACCTAAGGACATACCTGGTGTGTTAGTTTCCCATTGCTGCTCAGACAAATAATTACCACCTTGATAGTTTTTTTTTTTTTTTCCCACCTTGATAGTTTAAACACAACTTTATTATCTTGCACTTCAATAGGCCAGAAGTCTCTGTGGGTCTCATGAGGCTAAAATCCAGGTCTGGCAGGACTATCTTCCTTCTGGAGGCTCTAGGGTAGAATCCGTTTCCTTCCCTTTCCCTGCTTCTCAATCCCACACATATTCTTTGGTTTGCAGCTCCTTCCTCCATCTTCAGAGCCAGCCATGGCAGGCCGAGCCCTCTTCTCACATCCTCTGGCCTCCTCCCTGTGCATCCCACTTCTGCTTTTAAGGGCCCTTATGATTCCATTGGGCCCACCCAATCCAGGATCATTTCCCAATTTTAAGATCAACTAACAACTCTGGTCCCCCTTTGCCATGTAGCCTCACATGCTCATAGGTTCTAAGGAGCAGGGTGTGTATGTTGTTTTGCCTACCACAGCTGGCATACCACTCTGCTCTGTACTTTCTGAGGCTGCCAGAACTAAAAGTTACTTACCTAGACTCTCATTACCAGAAACCACGGTGCTCTGTCCCAGCAGCTCTTTCAGTGTTCACCCATCATTTCTTTCTTTCCTTCTTTCTTCCTTCCTCCCTCCCTATCTCTCTCTCCCTCTTTCTTTCTTTTCTTTCTTTCTGTCATACGATTCCATTTATGCAAAATTCAAAACAGTCAAATGAATCTCTGCTGCTAGAAAGGACGGTCGTGATTACCCTTGGGGTGCGGGGGGAGCAGTGCCTGGAAGGGGGTGCAGGGAGGGAGGGCTTCAGGAGTGCTAGGGAGTTTTGTTTCTTAGACTGGATGCTGCTTATTGTTTCCTATACTCTTCAGTCCTTTTGAGGATCAAAATTACAAGTGAATTTTTTTTTTTTAAGATTTTATTTATTTGACAGAGAGAGAGAGGAGGAGGTAGGCTCCCCGCCTAGCAGAGAGCCCAATGTGGGACTTGATCCCAGAACCCTGAGATCAGGACCTGAGCTGAAGGCAGAGGCTTAACCCACTGAGCCACCCAGGCAGCCCCAAAATTACAAGTGAATTATTAATATCTCTACTTGGTTCTGCTGCTTATGAAATAGGAGTAGTAATAAGCTTACATCCTATTCTGAGGCTTTTTAAGAGGAAAAAAAAGGGCTAGTGAAGAGGCCCCAGTGTCCATGTCCTATCACCAAGCGACGGCAGTAAATTTAGGACAGACCTGATGAAGCTATCAAAAGGTTTCTGGTGCTTTTGTTTCGATGTTACAGAAAGTTATTGTGTACTTCATGCCTGACCAAAAGTTGTGGCAAACATAAGAAAAAGTGGCATCAGTGTGCGAGACTGAAGAAATCACTGCAGCTAGTAGATAAGATGGTTGGTTTGCTCACAGCTGCCTGAGCAGTGGCGAGAAAACAGAAGTTCTCATGGAACAGATTGCCCTCTTAGCAGCTAGCCAGTTTCTCCGTCGAGGCTCTTGACAGATGTGCCCTCCTGTTGGTTTTATGCAGTGTGCCTATACCCACTTCAAGCCTTTGGAGACCTGCGTCAGTGAACAGCATGACTACCACTGGCATGACGGCCTAAAGAGGTTTTTCAAGTGTCCCTGTGGAAACAGAAGCATCTCCCTGGATAGGCTCCCCAAAAAGCACTGCAGGTAGGAGATCTCGCCTGGCATTCTTAAATCCTCTTTTCAGTTCCCATGTTATGCCGTTCTGCTAGAATGTTGGACAATCTGTTTTAAGGTCAGGCCTTATTTCCATGCCTCTTACAGCTTCAGGCCATCCCTAAAAACTCATGGAGGGAAGGGATCCTGAACTCTTCAATGCTTTACCCCCAATACTTAGTATAGTGCCTAGCCCATAGGGGGTCCTTACAAATGTTTGTTGAATGAAAGACAGAAATCAGTTCCCTGAAGGTCCTGGAATTGCTGGGACAAGAAGTAGGGAACCAGAACCAGGGTAGAACCTTAGAGCGATGAGCTAACTTCTGTAGCCGTTTTTGCCCTGGGAGGTTTCGCGGACTCTAGGCCAGGCGGGGAGCTGAGAGTCTGGGTCTTGTCCTGGTGGAGGGCCACCTGTGGAACTGTTGATGGAGATTGGGGTTCTCCCACAGTGGACGATACTCCCTTTAGGATATTCATTTCATTCAGGTTTTCTAGTTGTTCTCAGAGCACTAGTCTAGGGACTAAGTTGTATGCCACTCAGAAGTAGAATTAAGATCACATTACATGAATAAAACAATTTTGTGGGGACTAATGACTTTTATATATGAAATCATCCCTTTTTAAGATCCTGGAGTATCTTTCCATTTATTCATCCCGTCCTCTATGGCTTTTATAAATTTTTAAAATTATCTCCACAGCAATGTTGAATATTCTTAATTCTTAGATGTGCCATCACTTTTGTTGATACTGTGAATGGCAACTTACTTTCTAGTGTATTTTTTAGTTGCTTACTGTCGGTGCAGAGAAATATTATTAATTTTTTATATGGTGAACTTGCCTCTGACAAGCTTATCAGACTCTTATGCCAGCAATTTGTTGATTTCTCTACATAATTATCATTTGCAAATAAAGAAAATTTTACCTGTCTTGTTCCCATCCTTACACCCTCTATTTTTTGTCTTTCCTGATAGGACTGGTCAGACCTCCTATTTCCATTTCTTGAACTTTATCTTAAAGTGAATGTATCCTTCACAAATTTCTCCTCCAAGTTAAGGAAAATCCTTTTTATTTCCAGTTTACTATGATTGTGGGTAGGTAACTTCTCTTAATTGTATGATCTTATCCTTTAGCTTATCAATGTGTTAGTAAGTTGACAAACTTCTTTCTTTATTTTGAATATAAACCCCTTGTCTGATAGATGGCTGGCAAAATTTTCTCCTGTTCTGTAGGTTGTTTTTTCACTTTGTTACTTGTTAATTTTGATGTGCAGAAGCTTTTGAATTTGATGTAATCCCATCTGTTGATTTTTGCTTTTTTTGCCTGAGCTTTTGGCATTGTGTTCAAAAAATCAGGGCTAAGACCAATATCGATGAGTTTTCTCCCTACATTTCCTTCCAGGAGTTTTATGGTTGCAGGTCTTACATGTAAGTGTTTCATCCATTTTAAGTTAATTTTTGTGAGGGATGTGAGATAATAGTCCGATTTCCTTGTTCTGTGTGTATTTCTCCAGTTTCCCAGCACTGTTTGTTGGAGAGACTATCCTTCCCCATTGGGTACTCTATTTTTTTTTTTTTTTTTTTTGGACAGAGAGAGAGAGACCACAAGTAGGCAGAGAAGCAGGCAGAAAGAGAGGGGGAAGCAGGCTCCCTGCTGAGAAGAGCCCAACACAGAGCTCGATCCTAGGACCCTGGGATCAAGAACTGAGCCCAAGGCAGAGGCTTTAACCCACTGAGCCACCCAGGCACCCCTCCTTCTCTGGTTTTGGAATCAAAGTGATGCTGGTTTATTCATTATTGGTCTGTTCAAATTTTTGGTTTCTTTTTGATTCTGTCTTAGGTTGTAGGTTTCTAGAAATTTATCCATTTCTTCTAGGTTATGTAATTTGTTGGCATATAATCTTTCATAGTCATCTCTGATGATTCTGTGTATTTCTGTAGTATCAGTTGTAATGTCTCCTCTTTGATTTCTAATTTTGAATCTTCTCTTTTTCTTAGTGTAGCTAAAGATTTGTCAATTTTGTTTATTTTTTCAAGGAATCAGGTCTTAGGCTCGCTTTCTTTTCTGTTTTTCTTTTCTTTTTTTTTTTTTTAGATTTTATTTATTTATTTATTTGACAGAGATCACAAGTAGGCAGAGAGGCAGGCAGAGAGAGAGGGGGAAGCAGGCTCCCCGCAGAGCAGAGAACCCGATGTGGGGCTTGATCCCAGGACGCTGGGATCATGACCTGAGCTGAAGGCAGAGGCTTAACCCGCTGAGCCACCCAGGTGTCCCTCTTTTCTGTTTTTCTGGTCTCTTTTTCTGATCTTTATTATTTCCTTCCTTCAGCCACTAAATATGGGCTTACTTCTTTTTTCTTTTTTTTTAGTTCCTTGAGTATAAAATTAGATTATTTGAGAGGTTTCTAATTTATTAAGAGATATTCTATCCCTTCACTTTAAACTTTGTATGTTGTTAGAGCTGAGATGTGCCCCTTTAAGCAGCATATGGTTGGGTCGTTTTCTGTCCATCCAGCCACTCCGTGCCTTTTGACTGATGGATTAAATCCATTTAAATTTAGGGTGATTATTGATGGGTAAGGATATACTACTGCTGTTTTATCTTTTGTCTTCTGGTTGTTTGGTCTCCCCATTGTTTCTTTTTCCTTGTTTCTGCCTACTTTTATAAGTTGGTGGTTTTCCATGGTGATTTGTTCAGTCTCCCCACCTTTTATATTTTGTGTCTTCTCTAGATCTTCGCCTGTGGTGACCATGAGGTTCACATAAAACATATTTTTGGTAAAATAATCTTTTCTCTGGTGTCAGCAATTTGTCTTCACCTATAAAGGATTCATCTTTTTTCTCTTCCCCTTTTATATTTTATGACACAAATTACTTCCTTTGTGCTGCGATGTCATCACCAAGTAGTAGCCATACTTTAATTCTCTTTTCCTTGAATCTTTATACTGTAATTAAGAGTTTAATATGCTATTCTAGTTAAGGGTTAACAGTTTTCTAATTCTGACTATCACCTTAATCAGAGTTTTGTGTATTTCTTTTTTTTCAGCTCCAAGAGCTTTTAGCATTTCTTCTTATAAGGCAGGTCTGGTAGTGGTGATGTCCTCAGCTTTTGTTTGTCTGGGAAAGTCTTTATTTCTCCTTCCCATCTAAAGGATAACTTTGCAGAATAGAGTATTGTTGGCTGGCAATTTTTAATCTTTGAATATTTTTCATATTCATTCTACTCTCTCCTGGTCTGTAGAGTTTCTGCTGAGAAATCTGATAGCTGGATATTTTGTAGGTTGCTATCTTTTTTTTCCCCCCAGTTACCTTTCAGATTTTTTCTTTATCATTGACTTTTGACAGCTTTGATATAATTGTTTCTTGGAGAAGTCTTCTTGCATTGAGTTAAGAAGGTATTCTACTAGCTTCATATATTTGTGTATCCAGTTCCTTCACCAGGTTTGGGAAGTTCTCAGCTATTACTTCTTTAAATAAACTCCCCTTTCTTGTCCTCTCTTCCCCTTCTGAAATACTCATTATTCTTACATTGGCTTTTCCCCTGGGATCTGTTTCGATATGGCATCTCAGAGATTTCTTTTCTTTTTTAACATCTTCATTCTCGGGCGTCTGGGTGTCTCAGTGGGTTAAAGCCTCTGCCTTTGGCTCAGGTCATGATCTCAGGGTCCTGGGGTCAAGTCCTACATTGGGCTCTCTGCTCAGCAGGGAGCCTGTTTCCTTCTCTCTCTCTCTGCCTGCCTGCCTCTCTACTTGTGATCTCTCTCTCTATCAAATAAAAAATAAAATCTTTAACATCTTCATTCTCTCACCCCTTCCACCTGAATCATTTTTAGTTTCCTGACTTCTAATTCACTAATTCTCTCTTCCATCTGATTTGCTGTATTTCCAACGTATTCTTTTGCAGTCTTCATCTTATTTAGTGAGTTGTTCTGCTCCAGAATTTGTTTGGCTCTTTTTTAGAATTTCTTCTGTGAAGTGCTTCTGTTCATTAATCCTGAGACCATTGAGTTGCCTTTCTAAGTTTTCTTGTAGCTCACTGAATTTCTTCATAAAAGCTGTTTTAAATTCTTTATTGGTTAGATAGCACTATTCATTGGGCTCCTTTGCTGGAAAATTGTCAGGTTGTTTTTGTTTTTATTTTTAATACTGTATTACCATGGTTTTTCATGGTGCCTGTTGAAGAGTGTCTCTGTGATTGCATTTGTAGTAATGAACACCTATCTTGGGCTAAGTTTTGTTCACTGATTCTGACAGTTCAACCTGTAATTAGGAGCATTTTTCTTATTTTCCAGAAGGTGGCACTATAGCACATGTTTTTGGTTTCTCTAGGCTGTGAGCACTTAAAAAAAAATGAGGGGGGGCAGTGGCCAACTCAGGGGAGTTGTGTACTTAGCATTTGGGTATTTGGGTGAGCCCAGAAGTCCATGGGCCAAATGCCTGGACAGGAAGGAGGAGACACTTTCCTGCGGTCCCTTCAGGGGACCCTGCAGCTATAGAAGCTGCAGAATGGGTGGCTGACCTCCACTCGGCACCTTCACCCTCCACCTCCTGCCAAAAAGGTGTTGCTGACCCGCCATTTCCATGACCACTCTCCTCCTTTGCTGCCCTCCCTGCTCCCATCCACCCTTGGTGACCTGGATGCTGTGCACAGGTGCTTTTTTTTTGTTGGGGGGTCAGGGGTTATAGATGTCTACTTCCTTGTAAACCAAAGGGGGAGAGAGGAAAGGAACGGCTCACCTTGTGATAATGACATCACTCCCGGAAGTTTCCTTTCATTCTTTGGGTAAACCCTACTTGATTTATTTATTTTTAAATTTTTTTTTTTAAATTTTTTATTTATTTATTTGACAGATCACAAGTAGGCAGAGAGGCAGGCAGAGACAGAGGGGGAAGCAGGCTCCCCACTGAGCAGAGAGCCCAATGCGGTGCTCCATCCCAGGAACCTGAGATCACAACCTGAGCCGAAGGCGGAGGCTTAACCCACTGAGCCAGCCAGGTGTCCCCTTGATTTTTTTTTTTAGTCTGACATCCCCTTTATCCATTCCATCTTCCCACCAGCCTCCCCTCTGACAGCCACCAATTCTCTGTATTTAAGAGTCTGGGTTTTTTTTGTTGTTGTTGTTTGTCTCTTTTATTCTTTGTTCATTTGTTTTGTTTCTTAAGTTCCATATATGGTATTTGCCTTTCTCCAACTGATGTATTTCACTTACTGTTACACCCTCAAGATCCATCCATGTTGTTGCAAATGGCACAGTCTTATTCCTTTTTTAGGGCTGAGTAATATTCCGTTGTGTGTGTGTATGAGTGGGTAGGTGTGTGCTTCCATAATTTGGTTATTGTAAATAATGGTGCAGTAAACAGTGGTGCATATATCTTTTCAAATTAGTGATTTCATTTTATTTGGGTAATCCCAGTAGCAGGATTACTAGGTCATAAGGTAGTTCTAATTTTTATTTTTTGAGGAAACTCCATACTGTTATTTTAGTTTGCTTTATTGTAGGAATACGATATACAATACATATACAAAGTTGGGTTAATTGACTATTATCAGTAAGGCTTTGGTCAGCAATAGGCTATTAGTAATTAAGTTGTGGGGGAGTCAAAAGTTACGTGAGGATTTTTAACTGCATGGGAGCGGTACCCCTCTCCCCATCTTGTTCAAGGGTCCACTGTATATTTGTAAGTGAATTAGACCTATTTTGTTTTTTTGTTTTTATATAGGCCTTACCTGGTTTTAGAACAAAGATTATATGAGACTCATAAAATGAACTGAGCAGCTTCTGGAAATAATTTATATTAAATAACGATTAATTATTTCTTAAGGTTTTAATAAATCTCAACTGTAAAGTTATTTGGGCTTAGGCCCAGACCCAGGTTTTAGGGTCCGAGGTGGCCTGATAACCATTTCAGTTTCGTGGTCCCTTTTGCCAATTTCAGCTTTTTTTTTTTTTTCCTTTTAATCATTTCATTTAGGTTCTTAAATGTATTGATGTATGGTTGTTCCTAATAAACTTTCATTGTTTTTAATCTGTTTCTTGTTATTTTTATTAATAGACATTTACTGTATTTTGTGCTATTATTTTTCTTTTAAGATCAACCTTGACAGAGGTCTCTTTATTCTCTTTTTCTTTTCAGAAAACCTCTTTTAACTCTCTTTCTTTCTGTTTATTGATTTCTGTCCTTATCTTTCTGCCCTTGTTTTTTTGGGTTTGCTCTGTATCCTTTTGCCAACATCAGTTAATTGCTTATACTCAGGTTACTCATTTTTAACTTTTCTTGTTCCCTCATCAATGTGTTTAAAGCTACATGTTTCCCTCTAAGCACTTATGCTTTAGTGTCTCCCACAATCTTTGACCTGTAGTTAAAAGTATTTCTTGGGGTGTCTGGCTGGCTCAGTTGGAGGAACATGCAACCTTGGGGTTGTAAATTCGGGCCCCACATTAGGTACAGAGATTACTTAAATAAATTAAAAAAAAAAAAAGGGGATTTCTTAATGCCTTTGATGATTTCCTGTTTGGCCCAAGGGTTAGTAATGTTGTTTAAATTTCAAATATATGGGATTGATTTTTATTCTTTTTTAAAATAATTTCTGACTTTACTAGCTTATTCTTAAAGGACAGAATTTATATGAGTCTTTGGAATTTGAGGCACTTTCAAGATCACCTTCAGTCTACCCAGGAATGTCTCACCAGGATAGTCTCACCACCTATTTGCTTGCTTGTTTGTTTTTTAGGTTTTCTTTACTTCCTAGAACCCCTACTTCACTCCAAGTGTCTCCAGACTTGATTGGGGTTAGGGAGGGGACCCAGACCCCATGCTAGTTCATTACCTTGTCAGGAGTTGGTTTGTGAAATTGCTATGATCTTGATTATAATTGTTGAAAGTATCTATCTGTATATTGATATTTGATTTCTCCAAAATATTGTAACAGCAAGAGCTTATGTAAAACACTTGAGTATCAGAAAAATTCCGTTAATAAGCAGGAAGTACAACTCACAAATTGAAGAGCAAGATGCTTTTCCATCCTCCAGGTGGCGCTGTGACTTTTGTAACAACTGCTTTTCTAGACTTCTTGTCAATTCTTGACCCAGAGCAGAACAGGACAAACTTTTTCTGTCAAAACCCAGATAGTAAACATATTTTGCTTCGTGAACCAGGCGGTCGGTTTCATAACTACTCAGCTTTGGTGTTATAGCTCAAAAGCAGTCATAGGTAATACAGAAACAAGTAGACATGCTGTGTTTAAATGAAACGTTCTTTACAAAAGCAGGTAGCAGGCTGGATTTGGCTCATGGGTAGTAATTTGTTGACCTCTGACTAGAATTTCTGTTATATGTAATTTCATCATTGATCTACCAATAGTCTAGAAAATTTCTCTCAATTGATAATGAGCTAGTCTCTAGACAAGGAAGGTGTTGGAGAGGCTTAGGACCAAGGCCACTAGTATGCAGACGGACTCTCAGGGCTGGAGTAGTCTAGACTTTTAGGAAGAAGGATGAGGCAGGTAGGGCAATCCCCTGTGCCCTAGAGCCTCTCAAATCCAAGAGTGCCAGCAGCCGTATTTCAGTGAGTTAACAGTTTCTTTTGTTTGTTTCAGCAGAGTGAACATCATGGAAAATAAACTTTCTCTGTAGTAGCCACATCTCTGCTCAGGGTCAGACTCACATAACATGTTAAAAAACGAGAATAAGAGTCTCTAGGCCCTTTGAACAATAAGAAGTAAACATCTTTAGGTTTGAAAAGAGGAGAAGGATTGGGCAGATCAGGAGGAAGAATGATTCTTTCTTATCACAAGCTTTTAGTTCCAGAAAAGGGGAAGGGAGAAGTCTTTGACTGTATGGCATCAGAGGGCTAGCTTCCTCTTCTGAGTCTTTTCCCGATGCCCAGCAGGGGAAACCAAGCTTCACCTGCTGTGTGCATACCCTGTATACTATCACTGGGTGTTCCATCTCTGAAGTATCTAGCTTTTGACAGATTTGAAGACCATTTCTCAAATCACTGGAGTGTGTATTTTCAGTAGCATTAGAGGATAGCCTGTAATATGAGTGTTACCTTGATCATCTTCTGTTTGAATGGGGAATATTCTTCCTGCAAGTGCAGTGAACCCAGTTGACTATGCGTCCCAGCTCACTACTGAGTAAATCCCCTTTTCTGTTTCAGTAACTGTGGCCTCTTCAAATGGGAACGAGATGGAATGCTAAAGGTAGGTCGTTTGCAAGGTGACCAATTTTAGTAATCCATGCAAAAAATGTTGACCCATTTCTCACTAAACTATTTTCATTTTTCTAGGAAAAAACAGGACCAAAGTTAGGAGGAGAAACCCTGTTACCACGAGGAGAAGAACATGCCAAATTTCTGAATAGCCTTAAATAGCCCTGACTTCAAACATGTACTTATGGCCTAGATGACTTCTTATGGCTCTGGAAAAGGAAGAGTGTTGGCTCTGTTTACTCCTGATTGACACAGTCTAAACAAATACTCGTTAAGCTTACACGTTTTGCCTACTTATTTTCTGTTGTGTTGGTTTGATATCAAATTTAACATTGACCTTTAGGTGGTAAATCAGAATACCATCATCTTCCATGTTCTTGCTATTGATGGCTGCATTCGTGTAGATTTTTTGCTCAGAAACTGGAAGGTAAACTGAGAGCCGTGTTTCTATATATTTTTGGTATAGAGTGTGCAGTGTTGCTTCTTATTCAGAGTAAAATTCTGGTATTTATATGGGCACACAGAGGCAAAAGAATGCCTCTGCTGGGGTTCAGTTTTCTTATCTAGAAAATGAGGAAGCTTGGAGTAAATGATCTTGAAGTGAATCTTTCAGCACTCATATTCTTCAGATGATATGACTTTTCCCATATAAATAATTACACTCATCAACCTTGACATAATCTTGATATTTTGACATCAAGCTAGGTTCCTTCTTTCATTTCTATTTTTACCTCTTTTGTTTTGCAAATTAATTCACTGATTCACATGACATTTAATTCATATCTGTATGGTTCTCTGTGCCCTTACAATATTGTGGAGCTCTTTAATAGAAACACTAAAATCTCATCATTTTAAAGTATAACTTTGTTTAAATATGGCTTAAAGAAATTTCAAAACCTGTAACTAAAATGAATGCAGAATTTAAGCTGTGAACAATGATTGAAAAACAGAAACATCTCAGAACTCAGGGAGTTTGAGATTTGCAGATATAATTTATCATACACATGAAGAGTTAGAGGTCAAACCATGTGCAAATTAGCACCCCAAAAATGCTGTTTAGGAGATTCCTCTGCAAGGCAACCTGATTTTCCAAAGTGAATGGTGATATCATCCTAAGATTGAGTAAATTGGTAGGATTATTATTATACTGGGATTTAAACTCTAGGTAGAAATAGATCAGGTTTCTGCCAAGATGGTATTATGGTAGCACACAATGCTTACAGGAGCTGGTTGTGGGAGATACTTGATTTAGATTTTCAGGGGCCAGAAAAAAACATGTACATGCCTTAAATTTCATCAAACTCTGTCTACTCAATATGAGTAGAAGGTGCTGTGTCTGACACTTGTGTTACTCCTAAGGTTATATTTCAAAAGCTATATTTTTAGGAGGATTTCCCTTCCCAAGAGGTGTTTGTTTTAACTTTTAACTAATGAAGAAAAGAATAAAGTGTTTATTAATTCTTAATAAGGACCAAAGGCACTCAAAATGGCAATATTTTTAATGGCTCATTTAGAGTAGATTTGTTTATCCCATAAGCTTAAAATAGAGCTATGTATTTGAAGAAGGTCACAGCTGAGAGACTGCCAAGGACCTGAACTCCAGGCTGCTCCTTGAGCAATCCCCTTCTCATGAAAGAAACGTATTCCTTTTTGAACCAGGGGTACCATCAGAGTCCCTGTTCACTTGTGTGTCATATATAAGAATTGTAAGGTACTGTAATAATTTAAAAATCATTGAATTACTTCTCAGTTACTCTAGATCTTGGGGGCTTTCATTGGAGGTCTTTATGTGCTTCTGTAGATCAGCGATGAGAAGGGGTGGGTGGGCCAGACGGGGATGTACTTGTTTGCATTGAAATTATGATTTGTCAGTGAGATCAGTCTTTTAATCCTATTATCTTTATCAGTGTATTAAATGCTTTTATATAAATCCAAAATGTGTATTTAGTTTTCCTTACCTGTCATTGGCAATGTAGGGCTTATTGTGTAATCATGTGGTCATAGGCCATCCAAACAGAGTAAGTATGCAGTGACGTAAATTAGCACACAGAAACTTTGTATTTCATGGGGAAGAAGTTGATTTAGATGTTCTGATTGATTGTTACAGCAGATTATGTTTGTGCTGTGCTTTTTTTCTTTCTTTTTTTTTTTTTTTTGGAGAGCACACAAGCTTGGGCAAGTTTGCAGAGGGAGAGGGGGAGAATCTAAAGCAGATTCTCCACTGAGCTGGGAGCCTGATATAGGGCTCAATCTCATGACCCTGAGGCTGTGACCTGAGCCTGAGTCAGGAGCTTAACCCACTCTGACCATCCAATTGCCCCTGCCTTTTTTTATTTAGAGGAAACAGGTGGCTTATCTTTTTTTAATCACCTTTCTCTTGAGTTTTGTTTAAATATATTTTCTCTTCCAAACAACAGAAGGAAGACTGAAGTAATTTAGATAACAGTGATGTAGAGTAGCAAATAAGGAGCTTTTGAGTGATCAGTGTGGAATGTTCCTCAGAGGCAACTTAGAAAGTTTAAAAATTTTAAAGTTTTCAACTTCTAAAAACATTACAAGTTGACCGATCCATAGCCAAGTGGACAGGAAGAGATTTCATGAACTGGGTCGTGTAAAAGTTGATGACATATGGGAAGCTTGATTGTTTATTGCGGATTAAATGTGTCTGAGAACATGGATTTTTAAGCCCAGAGGGTAAATCTGTTTGCCTAAGTATATCATTCATAGCAGCCCATTAGAGCTCTACTTTACAGCTAAAATAGACCTCTCTGATCCCATGAGTAGAGATTTGGAAACAATACAGCTCTCAAGGATGGATGGCTCAAAAAGTGAAATTCCATATTCACCAATAGTGAAGAAAGAAACAGTGATATAGCTAAGGAAAATAATAGGCACAAAATGGAAGAAATCGGTTAACTTAATAGCAGTTTGTGGAAAAGCTGTGAAATTTTTGAAAATTGAAAGAAGCCAAGAGGCACCTGGGTGGCTTAGTTGAGACCCAGCTCTTGATTTCAGCCTAGGTCTTGATCTCAGGGTCCTGGGATTGAGCGCTACATCAGGCTCCATGCTCTGCTGGGTGTCTGTTTGAGGCTTCTTTCTCTTCCTCTCCCCCTCAACCCTTCCCGCCTCAAATAAATAAATATATCTTTAAAAAAAAAAAAGCTGAGAGTATAACCACAGTTATAACCATGTAGATTAAACCATGTAGATCAAAATGGGAACATGGCCTGCTGTTTCCTGCACAGGTCAGACCATATTGACTTTTTTTTTTTTTTTTATAGATTTTATTTATTTATTTGACAGAGAGATCACAAGCAGGCAGAGAGGCAGGCAGAAAGAGAGGAGGAAGCAGGCTCCCCACCGAGCAGAGAACCTTATGCGGGGCTTGATCCCAGGATCCCGAGACCATGACCTGAGCCAAAGGCAGAGGCTTAACCCACTGAGCCACCCAGGTGCCCCTTGGCTTACCTTTTGTAGAAAAGCCAGATGACAGTAATCAAGATGATAAAAATTCAAAACCATTTCAGAAAAGGACAGAGCTAATAATATATGTACAGTTTATTTTTGTTATTCACAGTAATTATATTTTGTAAAGCCATCACTAATGGAATTAGCAGATACTGAGTCACTGTACCTAGCAGGGAATATAAGGGTAGGTTTCTAAGAGCCTCTTACCAGATTTTGGTCAACAATCCATACATAACCTTGTTTTACATGTGTTTCTGTTTAGACACCATATTTAATATATATTGTTGATATATTAACATGGAATTCAAAGCGAACAGCACTATACATCATGAATGAACGAAGCTTATCTAGCACACATATCTTCTCTAGATGACACACACAGCCTTCACATATCTTCTCTAGATGGCACACACAGCCTTCTTGTAATAAAGAACACTAGACAGCATTTCAAGCATTATGCTGGGGCCATTTTAAATAGCAAGATCATCCACAAAAAGCACAAAGTCTGAAAAACATGAACAAAAAGGACATTTGCTTACAATATGAGGCCTGAAACAAACAAGAATGTCACTTTGTTTGACCCTGTCTGGGAATGTGTGCATTGGGCAACTCATATTTTTCATTGCTCTTCACATCCATAAATGACCAAAAAGTCACCCCAAATATTGATTATTGATTTGGGAGTTACTAATAAATTTTAGCAATTATGGGAATCCACAAATAATGAGCAACTGTATAATTTTTTCTAAAACAAGACCAGATAGACAGTGTCCCCATTTTGCAGATTAGAAAGTTGATTAAGGGATTTGGAAATGTAAGTTGAAATTCAGATGGGAACAAAGGCTGTGGTAATGACGCTTGAGCAATGACTTCTCTGTTGGTATTTTTCTTCCTAGTTTTAGTATACATGCTGCCAAAGTAAGCAAATATTGGTCTCTTTCTTAATCAACTTTATTAAGGCCTAAATTTCACACAGTAAAAGGCACACATTTTAACTGTATGATACTATAAAATATTGATGAACCTAGACACCACCACAAGAAAGATGTAGGACATTTCCATCCCATTAGTGGCTTGGGCGATTTTCCCTGTCCTCCCCCACCCATCACAGATCCATGTTCTGTCCCCATAATTTCTGCCGTTCTTGTGAGTCTCACTTAAATAGAATCATGCAGAACACACTCTTGTATCTGGCTTTCTTCATTCAGCATATTTCAAAATACATCTGTGTTGTGGCATATATTTGTAGTCCATCTTTTTTTATTGTTGAGTATTTTAGTGGCTGGATATGCCCCACAATTTATTTATTCACCTGTTGATGGATATCTGAGTTGGATTATTTTCAGTTTGGGGCTGTTATGAATAAAATCTCTACCAATATTCAAGTAGAAGTCTTTCTGTGACTATGTGTTTTTGTTCTCAGGTAAATACCTAAGAATGGGATTTCCAGGTCAAATGCTATGATGTATGTTTATATGTATGTTTAGCTTAATAAGAAACTGCTAAACTAGGGGTTCCTGGTGGCTCAGTGGGTTAAGCATCTGCCTAGGACTCAGTTCATGATCCCAGGGTCCTGGGATTGAGCCCTGTGTTGGTCTCCCTGCTCTGCAGGGAATTTGCTTCTTCCTCTGCCCCTTCCCCCAGTCCTTTGCTCATGCTCTCTCTCTAATGAATAAAATCTCAAATAAAAAAGAAAGAAAGAAAGACACTGCCAAAATATTTTCTAAAGGGGTTGCACTAGGGTGCCTAGTTGGCTCTATCAGTTATGTACCCGACTCTTGATTTTGGCTCAGATTTGATCTCAGCGTCACAAGATCAAGCCCATGTGGGGCTCCGCGCTCAGCAGGGAGTCTGCTTGGTATTTTTTCTCTCCCTCTGCCCCTCCCCCTGCACATGCATGTGCACTTTCTCTCTCTAAAAATAAATTAATCTTTAAAAACTTTTAAAAATAAAGGGGTCGTGCCATTTTACACACCCATTAATAATGTGTGAGAATTCAGTTTGCTCCACATTTTCACCACTATTTGATACTGTCAGTCTTTTTAAGTTTTAACCATTCTAATAGGTGTGTGGCGGTATCTCTTCCCAGTTCAAATTTACGTTTTTCTCATGACTGTTGATACTGGCATCTTTTCATGTGCTGTTGGCATTCCTGTATCTTCTTTGGCAAAATACCTATTTACTGATTGATTGAGTTGAGTAGGAATTCTTCCATGTATTTTTTTTTATTTTTTTTTATTTCTTTTCAGCGTAACAGTATTCGTTGTTTTTGCACCACACCCAGTGCTCCAAAAAACAAATCAGATTAACACAGAGGAAGGGAAGGAAAAATAAAATAAGTTGAAAATTGAGAGGGAGGCAAACCATAAGAGACACTGAACTCTAGGAAACAAACTGAGGGCTGCTGGAGGGGCTGTAGGTGGGGGGATGGGGTAACTGGGTGATGGGCATTAAGGAGGGCACTTGATGTAATGAGCACTGGGTGTTGTATGCAACTGATAAATCACTGAATTCTTATTCTGAAACTAATAAAAATAAATAAATTTTTTAAAAAAGTGTTCTTCCCATGTTCTGGATACAAGTGTTTTGCAGATATATGTGTGATGCATATTTACTCCCAGTGTGAAACTTGCCTTTTCATTTTCTCTTAACAGTGTCTCAAAGAGCAGGTTTCTACTTTCTTGTAGTCCATTTTATCAAACGATCCACTTTTAATTCATGCATTTTGTCTTCTAAACTTCTTTACCTGCCTTAACAGAACTGCCTGTCTTCTTTACCTGCCTTAACAGTCACAAAGATGTTCTTGTAGGATATTTTATTATAGTTCTAGCTTTCACTCTTCCATCTATGGTCCATTTCAAGTTAATTGTTGTATAAGCCATGAAATATAAGGGTTGAGGCTCATTGTTTTCCGAATGGACACTCATTTACAGCATCACTCAGTGAAAAGATGAGCACTTCCCCCATTAGATTATTTTTCCTTCTTCATCAAAAATCAGTTGATCCTGTATTTTGGGGTCTACTTCTGAACTCAGTTTTGTTACAGTAATGATATATGCATACAGTGTGTGTCAATCCTTATGTCAGTACCGTGCTGTCTTAATGATTATAGCTATAACAAGTGTTGGTATCAAGTAGTGTAAGTCCTTCACCTTTGTTATTTTTAAAATTTGTTTTGGCAATTCTAGGGCCTTTGCATTTCAGTGTAAATTTTAGAAGTGGCATGCTGATTTCTCCTTGGGGGGGTGGAATCCCTACTGGAATTTTTATTAAGATTGTGTTTAAGGAACATCTGGGTGACTCATTAAGCATGTGACTCTTGGTTTCACCTCAGGTCAAGATCTCAGGGTATGAGATTGAGCCCTCATCAGGCGCCACCCTCAGCATGGAGTCTGCTTGAGATTCTCTCCACGTGTGCACACACTCTTTTTCTCGATCTCAAATAAGTAAAATATTTAATAAAAAAAAG